AATATAAAATCTTAAAAAATGTTCTAATGTCATATCCATGACCAATTCAATTCCAGGAACACAGGAAACTTGGGTGATTTATTTATTTATTTATTTATTTATTTATTTATCATTTATTTAGAATCATTCAAAGTTTTCCAGTAACTAGTCTATTCCTGGACTATAGTAAGTAGTCAGTGAATCCTGGTTTAATGACTGACTCTCTAGGCTCATTGGCTCTTATATCAGAATCTCTTAGAAGAATATGTGTAGTTTGGAAACAAAGTAGTACTTTATTATGTCGCTTCCTTTTTGTGTTTATTTATTGTTATAATTTAAAGCAGCAAGTGTCTGGAAAGGGGCCATCATGAGCTTGCCCTCCAGAGGTGCTTTACTAGAATAGAGAGCCGAATGACACTGACTTGGAAGAGCATTGAAAGACACGGGGCATCCTGCCATAGGCAGCATTGTCTGGCCTTCAATGGAAAGAGAGTGCATTCTGTTCAAATTCCCAAGAGGAGCCTCCTTACCATGGGCATCCTGAAGGAGAGTGTGTATGACAGGCATCCTGAAGGAAAAAGGTTTCAAATCCCTGGGACAAGGTGGGTTCCTTATTCCTATAGGTTTCCCAAGTGAGTGGCAGCAGGCTTCCTGTTGCATCTAGCCTAACTTGTCTTACTCGTCAGGGCATGGACTATAAACTTATCTGGAAGGAGGAAGGGCTGCAAAACACTGTGTTAGGAGAGAGAGAGAGAGAGAGAGAGAGAGAGAGAGAGAGAGAGAGAGAGAGAGAGAGAGAGAGAGAGAACAAGGAAGATTGTGACCTAACAGTTATGATATTGAATGCTTGAAGTCTCAAGTAAGATTAAAGGAAGGATTGAAATTTGTCTTAATCCAAGGAGAGCAGGGCTGTCTGGGGCCTCAAGGATCACCGTGTCAGATTGATCTTAACCTGTTAACTGCCACACCCTGGGCACCATTGCTCCTTTAACCCACATTTGCCACAAGGAAATGAGTTGAGTCTTGGTTATTTATGTTGTTAAAATTCAGCTACAGAAAGCCTACCTATCCTTGACCAACCAGTCCAGGAATCATCAAAGAAAAAAGAAATGAGTTAGGGTCAGTGACATGTCCCAGTGGGTTTAGGTGTCTGGTCAGTGACATGTCCCAGTGGGTTCAGGTGTCTGGTCAGTGACATGTCCCAGTGGGTTCAGGTGTCTGGTCAGTGACATGTCCCAGTGGGTTCAGGTGCCTGGTGCCATGCCTGATGGCCTGAGTCTGGTCCTAAGAACCCACATGTGGAAGGAGAGAACTAACTTCCCCAAGCTGTCCTCTGACCTCCACACTTGCACCGTGGAATGCATCATACCCACCTCTCCATCACAGTGACGAAATACGTAAACATAAAATTTGAAATCCTTGTTAGTCTTTCTCCTACTGATCAACATCTCTTCCAGTGTTTCAGTAACATTACTGAAATAATTCTTGTCTTACAAATTCTTACCAACATTCATCTGAATGCCACATAGAACCCTGTCCTGGGCTACAGTTCATCTTATCAGCAAATACCTCAGCTTCTTCACTGGCAAAAGCCTTTTCTTAGATCAGCAGTTCTCAACTCTCCTAAAGCTGCAACCCTTTAACACAGTTCCTCATGGTGCGGTGACTCCCAACCATAAAGTTATTTTTGTTGCTACTTCATAATTGTAATTTTGCTACTGTTATGAATCGTAATGTAAACACCTGGTATGCAGGATATCTGATACGTGACCCCTGTGAAAGTGTCATTTGAACCCCAAAGGGGTTACGATCCACAGGTTGAGAACTGCTGCTGCAGAGGAAGGACAAGCACCCTGGAGTCCCTTCACTTCTGGTAACCGCTCTGCTTGCATCTGCTGCTGAGGGAGCTTAGGTTTCTTGTGATCTTAAGCCTGCCATTCCCTTTTCCCCTTTGCGCATGGGTAAGCACGGGGAATAGGAGAGGCAGCTGGCTAAGAGCTTCTGGTGCGCACGTGGTCACGGGAGTGAGTGCTTTGTGTGTGTCTAAAAAAGAATCTTGAGACCGAGACAGCACAGGGTGCATGTGGAGATGAGATAAGGCATACAGATTGTCCAGAGGTAGACAAAGAGCAAATCTGAGTGGGGGCTCAATGTATGACAGGAACGTTATCAGTAAGGGCAGAGAGGCTCATTGAGCAGAGCCACCTGCTTACTCTTAGCCAGCAGAGCACAAGGCTGGAAAACCTTGAGAGTTCATTCAGGGTATTTTTGGCACTGTCTGGTCAAATGACTACTAGACTGTCCCTGGTTTCTAAATTTGAAATGTCTCTAGAGATTGTTTCACTTTTGGCAACCCACTCAAACACGTCCACACTTGGTCCTGACACAACCTTCCCTTTGTCTCACCCAAATTCTTCTAGCTGTGGCTCAAGCCACTGGAAGAATGCCGTCTCTGTCAGGTAATAACCGCCTTGGTGGCATAAGAGAGGCAACTGTGGGGATCTGGAAGAGCTAGGACATGTGGCAGGGACATCTAAGGGCTGTATTCAGAAAAATCTGCAGGGCTTCGGAGGCTTTTTTTTTTTTTTTTAACCACAATATATCTCAAGAGAGCTTGCTTTAAAGAGGAGAGGGTATATAGGCTCTGCCATTGGCTTCAGGCCCTTGGGCATGGCAAGAGTTACTGGACATCTTGGATATCTTGGCTTCTGGACACTGGCTGCACAGCATGCTGAGTGACCATCATGGGGTGCCCAGTCGGTAGCCAGGATGGGCGTGGTTCTCATGCTAATTGGCCAGAAGTGAACTAAATGGATCATTAGCTAAACCTAAAGGGACAAAAGAATTCCTATCACATTGGAGAGAAAAGCCACTTAGGAAACCCATGGGCATTTCTTGGCCTGGTTGTTTTAGAGTGAGCTCTGTTCAAAACTTAAAAGTTGAATCCTCTTAAGTTGGTCCGGGCTCAACACCTATGAGATGGGCATGAAGTACGGTTTAACTGGTAAGAACACTGAAAGTGGGGAGCAACCCCCTCTGGGTGAGTGTGGGCTCACCCCATGTCTGTACCCTACTAAGCATGCTCTCTTAACTTGGGGGCCTCTTGCCTCACACAGCAGAGAGAAGAGGATCTTCTAGATAGTCCATGCTGGGGCAGGAGCCCATAGGGTGATAACAGAGGCAGAAATACATGGGGAAGGTGGCTGACTTTTCTGAGTTCCAGAGGAACCTTCAGAATAAACACACAAATGATTTTAAGTCGTTTTGATCAGCTCTCAAAGCCAAGTGGAGGGAAAACAGAGGAGATAGAAGAGAAAGACAACTGACCAGGAGTGGGGGTGGGGTGGAAATAGGATGAAGTCCAGGGGCACCCTCAGCTTTGGTCTGAGTTCAATACAGGGAGAAAGGAAGACAACAAAGTTCTGTTCACAGCCGTGCTCTGGATTGAACTCGCCACCCTGCAATCCAGCCCAGAGGAACCTGTGACCACGGGGCTCATTTCCAGAAGAACCTATGACGAGTAGGCTCATTTCCTGCACAAATGTCTGAGGTTGAATCAGACTCTTATCTTCAGATGATATAAAAGGAGGAATTTTATGACCCAGTGTGCCCATAAAGCCAGGGCATCACAGCCGCTGGTTGCTGTAGGTCAACATTGCCAGATGAAGCAACTTGGATAGCCAAGACTAAATAAGGGGAAAGGTTTGGCTGTCAGCTTGAGAAGTGGTGAAGAACAAATGTGTGACTGGAATAGTGATGGCATTACACACCCAATGAAAACCAACACGTGGCAGACAGAGTGTTTCAATTTCTGTTCTTCTCCTTGCAGGAAAGTCACACCAGATTTGTGGCTATAAATGTGCAGCTACCACCACCGGCTGCCTGGTGGCTGTACACACCTACCTGCTTCCCATTGCAGCTGTGGCTTTTGCTCCAGTCCTTTCAGTGAGAAGGAGGCTGGGAGGTACCAAAGGACAGACAGACCTCCAGGAGGAGGAAAGGACTGTAAACCCCTACAGCTCAGAGGTTAGCACCGGGGGTTCAGGGGAGCTTATGGGGCCTAGTGTGGCCCAGACTATTTCCTCTTTCTCCCCTTTTCTGAACAATTGAGGAAACTGAAGTCACTATTGCATCACCTGGGCCTGCCCCAGTTCTCTGAATCAGGGGTGAGAAGCACCGCCCTTGATTGTAGATTGAGCCATCTCCCTGGCAGATCTAGAGTTCTTCACAGGGGTAAGGATGACGGGGTGAGTATGACTAAGGCCTTCCTGCTCCTGTGAACCCCAGACTACACCTTTTTAACTGCTCTCAGAACCCCACAAAGGTCGGGAAATAAGAACTGATTTTAAATGGAAAGCCTTGTTCATTTGGGCTAAAAGCAAAGACTCTGGAAATAAAATGCTTGGTTCCTATCTTGGCCCTAATACTTTTGTTGTGTGGCTTAGGACAAGCTATTAAAAAACAAACCACCCCATACCTCAGTTTCCCCATCTGTACAATGGACATGGGAGTACTCAATTAATAGGAGCTTTGAATAAATAAATGCACTTAAAATTTGTACGACTGATTTTACATAAACCAAGCATAAAGACCAAGAAGCCCCGCGTCAGAAAGAACTCTCCCCTTTCCAGCAGACGGTGGGATTAGAATGTAAAGCTTCAGATTTTATATCTAGGTCCACCTTTTCCAAGATCAAGGCTTTTGGAAACCAATAATCTCAAGCTCTCAGAGCATTTCTGATGTCGGCTGTTAAGATGTACTGTAGTATTCACCCCTGCCTGCCACACAGACACACGTCAGGAGCTGCTGAACTGTGCTAAACGAATGTGCAGGATTCACAGTGGAAGCATGCATCAATGAGACTGACCACACCCTCCTCGGGGATACAAAAAGCTCTGCCAATGCCTCCTCTCAGGACTTTGCCTACAGTCCTGAGTTCTAATAACTGTGAAAGGCTTTTTATTCTGATTAGAAATCTATTCTCTGAGTCGGGGAGTGAACAAATCATTCTTTTCACAAAATTTCCTTTTGCTACAAAATGCCTTTATTTCCAGCCAGATAAAATTTTTCAACTGTATCTATATGGTTACACATGAAAAGGTACACCTTTGTCGCCAGCCTTGTTTACAAGGCCCATTGTTAATTATTAATGTGTATATCAAACAACCTTCTTTGTCTCTGAAGACATAACTTAAATAGACTGACTGCCAATGGATCCGCCACACGTGTTCACGGATGGGAACGGTGCGAGGTTCTTTGCCAATGAGTCAGCCTGAGATGACGTATGTGGAGGTGATTAGATTCCACCAGTCAGCAGGTGGCATGCAACGGAAGCCTGCTTGCTGACCCCACTACTGTGGTGGTGGCCCTTCTATGAACAGGAGACAAAGAAGACAGACCTATGGAATGTGGAGAGGCCTTTCACAGAATGCAAACACCATTGGGTGAACCCCAGCATGAGTGAAAGCCTCATGAAGGGGACTCTACTGTGTACACTACTGAAGATTATGGCACCTTTTTATTTGACACTCAATAAATATCTAGTTACTGAAAGGAAGAGACAGAGACTCAAGACACTGACGGTTGTCATGGTGTCCAACCTCTGTTCTCAACACTGGGTTTAGGTTGGGAGCTTGAAGGATCCCCATCTGCAGTTTCTTCAAAGCATATCCTTCTCCTCAGAATGCTACTCGTTTCCCTAGAGAGACCTTCAACTTCTTCATCAGCATTTAATCTTTTGCAGACTGCAGTATTAGCTTAAAGAAGAGTGTAGAGTGCTCCACAGAAAGATTTGTCTCTTGAAGTTAAAAAAATAAAGAAGCCGGTTTGGCTTGTAATCCCCAGGACCTCCTGTATTCTCCCCAGCATCTCTTCTTTTGGCTTCTGTCCTTTCCTCCAAGCCTGAAAGAGCTCTGGAGACTCATGGGTTGAGCAGTGCACACCTCTGTGACACCTTCTCTCAGTATCAACTGCTGGAATGTACCATGGCTCCCTGGGACTTGAGAGAGCGGCTCTCTTGAGGCGCCACCCTTCACCAAGTTGTGGACATTTGCTCCTTGAAGGTGAAGACGGTGCTCTGAGGTGGATGCTAGGGAATTCCCACAGAAGAAATTCCTGGAAAAAAATCCACGTTCCCCTTCGGTTCTCTTTCCCCATAAGGCTACAGGTGCAATTCTGGTGACACATAGGAAAAGTTTCTAAACTCATCCTGGTTAATCATAGGAAGATGTCCCTCGTCAATGGGAGTTAAAACTGGCTCTTCTTTTATGAAGTCTGGGTCAAAATTGCTGACATCTTCTCTGGATTTCTGTGAAAGAAAAATGGAAACTGGTTAACTTGTATGTACCTGGGGCTTTGGCCTCTTGCATGGGACTCAGCCCATTCTCAAGAGTTCAGAGATCTGCCCTGCAGCCTTGGTCAGTAGCAGCATTTCTGATTCTGATCCCCATGGTTGAGTGATGCTTCATGGCCACTCCACCACTTGTATTATTATGGCCTTTGCCATAAGTCACTCATTCTATGCCCTGTCCTCTAGTCACTATGTCCTGGAAGTGGGACAGCCTTGGACTGTGAGGCTAAAGAACTAAAGTGACCACCCAGACTTGCTTATTACTCGTGTGCCCATTAGCCTCCATTTCGATGAGCTGTGGTTTCCCAGCAGGCCTCAGTGAGAGGCATGCCCACTCACATCTGGCCAGAGGTCAAGTAAACTCACACTCAGCTCACTCAGTGTTTGTGAGAAGAGGTTCTCCAATCGTTTTATGGTGCTGATGGGCTTAGAGCGAAAGTGCATAACCCATTACTGGTCAGAAACAACATAACCCACTGGGCTGGAGCTGGTGGGATCTCTCCGGCTCCTGGACATCCAAAGTCTGACAGGCTGGCACAGACTAAACTCTCTCTGTTTGAAAGAACCATGTAAATGAAATCTTTGTAAGCATACTAAGGAGGTCTGTTTCTTTCTTTTTAATCATTGTGAGAGCTCCCCCTTCTTTTATCTGATTCAAGGACGCTTCTCCTCCACCTTCAGACCTTGTCTTCTCCCGATAGTTTTGATCTACTTTTAGCCTGCCTTTTCTGTCCTCCTCTAGATTCCTTGATGCTTATATGTACAACTTGAAGACTGTGAGCTTGATCACCCTCAGGCTTGGTGGCTTAGATTGCTACTGTTATCCTCCGCGTTTCTCCAAAGTGGATCTGCCTGGCTGGCCTGAGTCCTCTATCACTGTAATTACAACACACTGTGCAGGCCAAGGAGCTGGGCTCAGTGAAGGAGCACCTGGCATCTTCTCTACTATCTTAGGGCTTGACAGAGACACAAATGGTGCCCCAAGAAACAGGAGAAAATTGGCTAGGAATAATGACATCAATTAGTTAAATTCTTCGAGGGAAGCTTAAAGCAGCTTAGGCGTATTAGATGCTGGGATATTTTAATTTAGTTTCAGGGAGGGTAGAGCTAGCCAAAGTGAGAGGTGAAAACTTTCTGATAAATAGTCAACACATGGAGAGACATTGTCTAAGAGGCAAGCAGCCCAGTTTTGCTCTGCAGTAGAGGCCGGCCAACCTTCACTCTGCCATTCCATAGGAGAGACCAGCTTTTCCATGGACTTTGGTCATCTGAAGAGAAGGGAGAATCTATGACAGCAGCCTTGACACTCACAATTCTGGGTCGGAAAGGTGGCTCTAGCTGGCGATGGTTCAACTGGGTCCAGTCAATTTCTTTAAAGAAAGGATGTCTCAGTATCTCATGCTCGCCACCCTGAGTCAGGCTGCCCAAGCGCATGGTAGGGTTCTTGGTCATGAACTATGAGAGTGCAAGAGAGAAAGAGAGACTGTTATTCATTCATTCATTCATTCATTCATTCATTCATTCATTTCATTCATATACAGCAGCCACCTCACAGGACAGCAGGCACCAGCCCTGGCAAAGGACCTTCTGGGAGGTTTTTTGGCTGGTCTTGCTTCACTAGCTGGATTTTCCATCCTGAGCAGTATGAATCATGCCTTAATGTTGAGACTGCCTGAGTGAAATTTTGGCCTTCTCCACTGCCATTTCAGGCATGGCCACTAAGAGAAGGCTGAAGGGTTCAATTTTCTTTTCTGTAAATACTCGGTATTTTTCTTTCCTCTTTAGAGAAAGGCAACTCCTTGTGAACTAGTGTGCCTTTCCCCAGCATGGCAGCTGTGGACAGCAAGCAGATTCTGACTAGGGCTCCTTTTAGGAACAGCTGTGCCATTGTTCTGTCAACTGCACAGCTGGCCAGGGTTCCTGCTTGCTCCTAAGACCACAGGAGAAGAGTGAGAGTCATTGTTGTTGCGATCTCTATAAAACGTCAGCAGGGGTGGAAAAACTTTAGAAACTTCTGTGTCTGGCTCTAGGAATAAATGAAAGCTGTTTGCTTGTCTTTCTGTGGCTAAGATATTAGAGTTGGAGATGAACCTTTTCTGTCTTCAAGATGCCCCTCTTCTGGTTTGCAATCGGTTTCTGGAATAAGAATGTGGGACTGCACAGATCAAAGCTAAAACAATGCTAATATATCAGTGCTGTTCATACACAAATATTCCATCTTCATATAAATTGGAAGACATTGCATGTGCTCAGATATTAGGCATTTTGGGCCAACTCCCCTTTTTATAAGTATCTCGATGTTTTGATCATTTTCTAATAAAGGATTCAGGGGATAATTCACTTTTCAAGGCCAGAAAAATTTTTTAATTTCAAATGATTTTCCATTTTTTTTTTTTTTTACAAAAAAAGCTAAATGTGAATAAAGATATTTGTTTGGGTTGGGTATGGTGATAGCACATGTCTGTAATTCCTTCTGGAGGCTGAGGCAGGAGTGTGGTGAATGCTGAGTCAGCCTGGGCTATAATGTAAGGCCTTGTCTCAAAAACAAAGCAAGAAAACAGGTAGCACCGTGACTATGGTTTAGTGGAAGAGTGCTTACCTAGCACAGAGAGGTGCTGAATTCTAACCCAGAACCACGGGAAACCAACAAAGCAAAAAGGTTGCTGTAGTTTTAATGAAACCATATTACTTTATGTTTCTTTGTGCTTCTTCCAAGCTCAATTTCAAGTGCTGGGGATCAAACCCAGGGCCTTGTGTAAGAGAAGCAACTACCCTACCTCTGAGTCACACCTCTGGACTCTAAATCAAGTTATCTATAAAGATGACAATTTTTGACAGTCAACAAATATCTTTTTCAAGTTTGACTTGTGAACATAAAACAAAAGTAATTCTGTGTCTATAGAAACTGTTTGGAGCTGAATTTACTGAGAACATTTAATGATTTTTCAAAGACAATCTTCTTGCTGATGAAGACACAGAAGACAGTGACACCTGGGTCATGCCTGGAAGCCAGAGCTATGATAGTCTCAGGGTTGGGTCAACCAAGAAGGGTCACGCTAAAGGAAAAGATGGCAGCATGTCCTCAGCAAACACCAATCCCATGGCATCTACCTAGCAAAATGTTTTTAAAATGTTAAAAGGGAACTGGTAAGAAGATCCTGAGAGAGTTTAATGGCTTCTCCTTTCTACAAATGACAATCAAGAGGCTCTAGCATTCTGGATTTGAGGTTAGAACTCAAAATAAACTAAGCATTTGAACAGACACAGGTCCAATCACAGCTGTTCATACCACAGAGATTAACTGCAGGGTACAATCCCCGATGGACAGGTATCTGCAATTTTAAGAGCTCATTAAGAACTAATAATGAAATAAATAAATTAAAAAAAAAAACTTGAGAAAGAAAGACCACAGAAAGAGACCCAGATGGCTTGTGGGAATCTCCCAGATCTGTCAGTGAAGGGAGCAGAAGATTTCTTGTGAATGTGTGGAGTGAAACTCGTTCTTGTAGGAAAGGGGGACAGCGTAGGACTCTAGATACCAGTGTGGCAGAAGCATTGTTGTCTGACTTTGCCCTTGCCACTGAAACTGAGCATCCATGAGGCAGAAGCCTAAGGAAGAGCAGACAAATCACAGCGGTGACTTTTCTGAAGAGCACACTTCTAGAACTGGGCCAGGATGAATCACAGTTGGTAGATACCTTCTTTTGGGGTTCTGATCAAGCTTTTTGAATAGTCTTGATTTAATGTTTTTAAAAATTTATTTTATCTTTAATTATGTGCATGTGTGTTTATCTCTGTGTAGCTAAGTGATAAGTTTAGGTGCTAGCAGAAGTTAGAGGCATCAGATCCCCAGAGCTGCGGTTACAGGTGGTTGTGGGCTGCTTACTTGGGTGCTGGGAACATGGGTACACACTCTTAACTGCTCAGTCATCTCTTCAGTGTCGTAACCTTGTTTTTTTTTTTTTTAACACCCAGGCTTGAGCTTTTTAGATATAATCATCTTCCACATAACAAGAAAATCTGCCCAACCCAGCCTGATAAGAATAATTCTCACCTCTCATCAAAGAAGCTTCTTTTTGCAGTGATTATTCTAAAGGTCCACAACCGGTCAAAAATATAGAGACTGACCATGCCCAGTATCCAACCCCAAAGCATCCACAATGCAACCCCTGTACAGAAGGCTTAGGGAAAATCACGGAAGAGGAGGCAGAAAGAGTGTAAGAACCAGAGGACCAGGATGCCTGCTTATGAGACAGTTTCTTCTAGCCAGGCATTGCCTAAATAAGACCTGCACAGTAACAATACCACTTGACATGCCAAAGGGGATGGGAAGTTCAGAAAGCCTCACCTCTAGATGAGAGATACAGGCAGACAATGGCTGCAGAGGGAGGAAGAATCATTATTCTCCAGGGGTGAGAATCCCTTATCCAATCCTAAGTGGTTAGACATAAACACATGTACATGAGACAGAACTAAATGGACCCAATAGGTGCTGGTTGTGTGTGTGTGCGTGTGTGTGTAAAACAATAGTAATTAAAGAAAAAGTCATGAATGTGAGCGGGAATGTGGGGGCTATGGAAGGATCTGGAGGGGGAAAGGAAGGGGTTAAAATGATGCAAATGTGATACTTAAAAATCATCAAAAACAATCTCAATTAAGTAAGAAGAGGAAAACCCCCTCGTTCCACTTACAAAGTCTATACAGGACCTGGTGACTGCAAGGCAACGCACAAGGCTTGGGAGTGTGGAGGGGACAAAGGTATTACCATTCCATCAAGGTGAAAATGAAAATCAAGAGGAGAGACAAGCAAACCATGACACATAACGGGACGCGCTGGAAACATGAAAGCCCTGTGAAAGCTTGAGAATGCTTGAGCAAACGACACTGGGGCTGGCGTTAGGGAGGTCAGTGAGTGTCATGGAGGAGTGGGAGTTTGGTGAGATAAGGCAGGATCCATGTAGGAAGAAGACGATCATGCCTGTCTCATGCTCAGTACACACGTCTGGATGCACACAAGCACCTGGGGTGCCAACAGAAGAACATATAGCTCGGGACAGCTGGCACGTGAGGATGGCAGGGCAAGTGTGGGGGAGTCAGTCTGGCCTACCAGAAGTCTATGAGGAGGCAAGAAAACCAGCCACAATACCATGAATAAGTACGGAATGGGGGATTGAGGGGGAGCACCGTCAGACGGGAGTAGGGAGCACTGTCAAGAGACTGAGACAGCTGAAATGACAGGCGAGTTCAGAAACTACAATGCTTGTAATTAAGGAGAAGGGAGAGTTGGAAGCAAGCTCCAGAAGGTTTTAAAGAGAAATATGCCTAGGGCTAAGTGAAGGGGTGAAATCTAAGGTCAGAGCATCTTCCCAGGCTGTCTGATGGAGCTGTGCAAGGTTATACCAGAGGCAGGTCTTCCAACATTACTAATAGTGGCAGCATCAGCAGTAGAAGTCAGGGCAACAAATACAAAACAAGTATTCCTTAAGATTAGGCAAACAGTCAGTATCAAAATGGAGTCACCTGTGTCAAACGTTAACAAAGCTGGGAGGTTGTAAAGGAGAAGAGGCATATATGGACACTCAATGACAAGAACTGTGACAGAAGACTCTGCTAGAAGCACATTTCTTTGCACACGTGCCACCACCACCTTACACAGAAAATGCTTCTGCAAGGCTGTCTGCCCTACAAGTGCTTCTAGTTTTGTTAACTTCCTTGTTATTGATTATAAAGGCTAGGATTACGGTTTATGTAATGCTCCTCATTTGGCCTTTAAGAATTCCCCCTTAGTGTCACCCTCCCACAATATGCTCATGGTTTACATACTGGCATGCATGACACCATTGCCATGCCAGATCCTGACTAAGCATATGAATCTTTGGAGAACCTCTGTTTATTGTTTGGTTTAATTAAGGGTTTTAACATCTTGCCAAATCTGGGTGGTTGACATGCTCAGTTTTGTATCTGAGATATAAAGCACCCACACAGAGACAACAAGGCATGTCTACATGGGGTGCAGGCTGGGGTTAGATCTCTCAGTGATATGTGAGGGTAAAGGGCTGAAGCTGGGAAGGCAAGCAAGACTGAGTAAGAGGGGGAGAGAGAAGGGTGGGTGAATGAAAAGAACTGAGGCCCACTTTTCTTAACCCACATTGTGTGGTTGAAAATAATTTCAATTATTTATCATTTAAAATAACATGCTTCATTCAAATGAATTATTAAAATGAAATGATTTGCTTAAATGCTGAATTACACGAAAGCCACATTTGGATGTGGGATATCTTCAACACTGAGTTTGTTCCTTTTTCAGAGGAGTGGCCTGGGTTTGATCAGTGATGGCCACAGGATCCCCAGGGGGCCATATATATGCCATCCCCTCTTGTCTCACAAGAGGCTGGTATCACTCGCCAACTTTCATGGCTTCTGACCTCTGGAATAGAGAAAGAAAAAAGTTCTAT